CCCCCCCCTTTTTTTTTTTTTGCAAAAGGCTCATCTTCAATAATTGTTTTAAAAAACCTCGCGAAAGTAGAATATACAGCACAATTTCAGTCAGTACAGGCAGGAGTTGGTTTGATTACCGGATTCTTAGGGTACTGTGGGTGCCCTTGGAAGCTGTCCTATTTAAAAGTTGGTTTTATTTCCTTGCTTATAAAAAGACTATTTTCGTTTATAAAACATGATAATAAAGAGATGCTATGCAATTGAAGATTCCATCTTTTTCTTCTTTTTGTGGCTGCCCCATCCCTGGAGGTGTTCAAGGCCAGGCTGGATGGGGCTTTGAGCAACCTGGTCTGGTGGGAGGTGTCCCTGCCCAGGGCAGGGGGGTTGGAACTGGATGATCTTTAAGGTCCCTTCCAACCCAAACCATTCTATGATTCTGTTTTGGTTGTTTTTTTTTCTCTGGGAAGAAGGAACTATCCCTTCCAACTCGAACCGTTCTGTGATTCTGTTTTGATTGTTGTTTTTTTTCTCTGGGAAGAAAGAACTATATTTTTTTTTGTTTAAACAGTAGCTGTCGGTTGCCTGTGTACATAGGTTTCATTTGAGTCCTTATGAATGCTTTGAAGGAAGTAAAAATGTTATTCTTTCCCTTTAGGGTCTCTGCAGATAAAAGCGAACTGATACCTCGGGTATTGTTAATTCCAAACAAGATGAAGATCCCCTCTTTGCTGCTGAGATTCCCTCGTTGTTATTTCTCTGGAAGAACTTACTTCACGAACTTGTGCTTCACAAACTCTCACTTGGCTTCCAGAGCGGATTTCCCATCCATTGAATCTCTTACAACGGTGCCCCACTATCGTACAAGATGGAAATGTTCATCACACAGTTTGAGGAGAGAGCTGTGTCAACAAGTGGCCCCTGAGCAGCAACTAGAGGGGCTTTCTGACAGAGAACAAAGGCTCGTAGACAGACTTTACAGTGGACTAATCCAGGGTCATAGAGCCTGTTTGGCAGAAGCTATTACACTTGTAGAATCAACTCAGAGTAGGAAGAAGAAAGTAGCCCAGGTGCTCCTTCAGAAGGTATTATCCTACCACAGGGAACAAGAAAAGTTAAATCAAGGAAAACCACTTGCCTTTAGAGTTGGTTAGTCCTTTTATGTCTGTCCAGTAGTTGCTTTGACAGAGTTACAATCTTCACCCTTCGTTACCACTATTGTTCTTTAAGCATCATGGTCCGTAGTCTTGGATCACTGGTTTCTTGTGGTTTGTAGCCAATCTACTTCGCTTCTGTTGTCCAGTAAGATTATAGCTTGAGCTGGAAAATGGTTTTTGAAAAAGCTGTGGAAGTAATTGTTGCTTCTTGTCGGTGAGGGGCAATTATTTGGGTTTTTTTTAATAACTATTATAAGCTGAAATGTTAGGTGGGTAGTTTGTAATTTGATACACGATAGGGAAGGATGTAGTTAAGCAGACCTATCCTTTTCCCAAAGAAGGTGTTTTCTTGAGTATTTCTCGAATCCCTTCATTAATCCTCAAAAGTTAAAATATATACCTTCCTGTTTTAAGGCCTTACTTGAAAGCAGCCTACTTTTCAGCTGAGGAGACTTTGAACCTGGTTATCTTGGAAACTATGAAATATTTTTCCCTTGTAAAGAGATGGACTATTAAAGTATGTCATGTCCAGCTGTCATCTCTTGCATGTGTACAAAGGTAGAATAAGAACTTGGGCATGGGAGCGAGAAATATCTGCTGGAGGTTAACAAGCTAATCTTAGTTTGCATGCTTAGACATGTAAGGAAATTGCCCAATTCTTTTGAAATAACAGCTCTTCAAAGTATGGGCTTTTGCTTTTAGAGTGTGTCTTTTATAAATAGTAAATCTGAAAAATACAGATTTAGGATATGACATTTTAAAAGTTCTGAAGCGTAAGTCAGATAAATTTATTTGGAGGAGAGGAAATTAAGCTGGATAAACCCAGTGTTATGTTGGCGTGGGTAGGATGAGGGGCGGTGAAGTGAGTGCTGCCACACTGGATGAACCCAGGTAGTGTATTTCAAGTCAACTACAACTGCTTAGTTGGGTATCTCGATTGTGGCATAGCTTTCATTTGCCTTCGTTGTGACACTGTGCTAAAGTATGAATTGTTAGCAGCTTAGATGTTATCAGTGTTCATGTGATGTATTATTTATTTGATTAACAATATGTTTTTTTTTTTCCTAATGTGACCATTTAGGGTTGTCCGGTCCGCCTGGTGCTGGGAAATCGACTTTCATAGAGTGCTTTGGGAAAATGCTTACGGAAAGAAAATACAAAGCCCCCCCCCCCCAATACGAAATTGGGAAATATGTATCAGTGCCCTACTTTTTTCAGGTTTCCTCTTTTCCAGTGTTCAAATGTTCCTTTTCAACTTTTTTGTCTGAAACCTTAGATAGCTACGGTTTTCTCCTGTAGTTTTGTTTATTTATTTCCCGGTGAATGAAGGAGCAGAAGGGCATTTGTTTCTGCCTAAATTTCAACGGTGGTAATGCCAATTATTGCCTCAGCAGGAAGCACATGCTAATTTAAAAGTATTGAGTGGATGCTGCAAGCCGAACGTGTAGATTAAGTTGGATTTTACAATATTCATTAGTTCTTCTCAATAGGAATTTTTGGATTTCTGTTGACCGTACTGGTTTCAAGGTCTCCAGATGCAGTAGCATTGACCATTTGTCTGAGTTCTACCATGATTCTTTTTTTTCTAAATTTGAAATTCTTCAAAGTTGTGTAGCTGTCACTCTCAAACCAGAAATTGTAGGGAAATTTTAGGCTGAGTGTGCTTGATTAATGGTATCTCTGACATAAATAACAGAATGTTGATTTTGATCTTTTTCTGATGGGCAGCTGCCAGAGAAAATCATTCCTTTTTCCAGCTTCTACATTGTCAGAGGAGATGTTGCAATGTTTAACTATTTAAAAAGAAAAAAAAAAATTCAGCATTGCAATGACCTGGAGCTAAGAAAGATTATATTTTTGAATACATACATTCAAGACACATCAATAGAATAGCAAAATATGATGGCAAGACTGCATCAGTTAAAAGAATTGAGCGTCTCTCATCGTTTGGAATTTGCATCATGCGTGTACATCTCATTGAATCCAATTTAAAGTTTGTATGAGTGATGCACGTCAGCTTTCTTACAAACAGAACAAAAAATCCACCATCAACAAATACTAGAATCATAAAGCGGAGATTTGTCCCTTTGGACAGAAACAGCAAAGATTTAATTGCGTGGCCTGCTGTGTACAGGCCTCAAAAAGCCATTCAGGGATTGCAGAATTCCTTCCGACCTAGAATAATTTCTTCAGATTTGATAGCAGTAAGGTCTGCTTATCAGACCTTTCCAGCTTCTGATAGGCAGAAGAACCAGGCAGTAACTTCCTAGTCCTCAGCAAAGTCTTGAGCTACTTGTATTGGGGTGACTTGGACCGAGAGATCTGTCTTTTTTTGCTCATTTACTGGGGAGGAGAGGGGGAAGTTTGGCCGGTTTGCACTTTTTGAAATAACATTAAATGTTTAAGGTTCCCTATTGGGTGATAAAACACGGATGACCGAGTTGTCCAGAGACATGAATGCGTACATCAGACCGTCTCCAACCAGAGGGACACTGGGAGGTGTGACAAGGACCACAAATGAAGCCATTCTGCTGTGCGAGGGAGGAGGCTACAACGTTGTTCTTGTGGAAACAGTGGGTATGTGTGTTAGGGTTGTCTTCCAGTTACCCTGTTGCCCTATATCAATAAGCTGTGGTACTAATTGCATACTTTCATCCTTGATTTTGCTCATGCATTCAGACAGGGTTACTGGTTGAAAATGAATGCCCATTCTGTCAATTTTCTAGTCCTATATGTTTTGTAAAAACACTGTTTTGTAGGACATGTTGTGTTTCCTGTTGTCTTTGTTAGTGGGATTTGTTCATGGGGCCATACTGGGATCTTCCATAATTACTCTTGTTAATGTGGCTGAAAGTTTGCAATAAGTGGTGAACTCTGGATTCAATTTTTTAGGTGTGGGACAGTCAGAATTTGCTGTGGCTGATATGGTTGACATGTTTATATTACTGCTACCACCTGCGGGTGGAGATGAGTTACAGGTAATTTTCAGTTTCTCTTATTAAGTATTACCCAGGACTAGGAAGAGAAACTTAAATCCAAGATGTAGTATCTGTCTGTGCACAAAATCCATATTGACCGTGTTTTACTATTGAAGTCCTTTCAGTGTCTTAACAATTTATTGCACAATTAGGATCTGCTATGCTCCCCCCCCCAATTTTGGAAGTATTAGGATGTAAAATTTTTATACTCTCTGACTTACTTTAGCCTATTTATTAGTTATATATGATTTTGGGGAGTGACTTTGTCTTATAAGAAAACAGAAATCAATATGAATAGGTTTGCAAATGGAGTCATGTTTTGGTTAAACTTGAAGCTCTATATGTGAAATAGGTTATTGTCCCTGATATTCATATATTGTCTCTGATATCCATATATAATAGATATATTGCCTCTGATATTCATATTTAGTTTTCTTGTGTCAGAGTAATAACTAGTGATGACAGAGGCCATTGGCACTACTGTTGCATAACTAGCAGATACACACACACAAAAAAATCAGTAAGAGCCACCAGAAACTAATAAAACATTTTGACCTGCTTTTCATGTTAAATCAGCATGTGCCAGTCCTGGTTATTGATGATTTCTCTCCCTGTTCCATGTAGGGTATCAAACGAGGCATAATTGAGATGGCGGATCTAGTGGCTATAAATAAAGCTGATGGTGATTTAGTTGTGCCTGCACGGAGAATACAGGCAGAATATGTTAGTGCCATGAAGCTACTTCGTAAACGTTCAAAGGTTTGGAGACCAAAGGTTTGTGTACTTTACTGTGGTTTATGTTATGTTTTTCGTTGGTTGGTTGGTTGGTTTGGGGGTTTTGTAGTTGTTTTGTTTTTTTTGTTTTGTTTTGTTTTGTTTGTCCCTGCTTCCCCCTCCTCCCCCTCCCCTGCCATGAATTAGGATTGTTATCATCTCATCTAGGTATAGTATTCTCCATGGGCTCTTCTTTTAAAAAAATTATATTTTTTCTATAAAAAATTAGCAGACCTATTACTAACATCAGTGGTGGTACAAACTTGTCTTGCTTTTTGTAAACTACACATATCTTAAAATATCCCTTTTTTATAACTCTGAAGCCTGTGATTATCTTTTGTCTTTCACTTGTTCGTGAAACACCTTTATTGCTTTACCTTTTTTTAATTTCTCACATAACAAAAGGTCTTGGGCAAGAACCTCATCTGTTTGTGTATGCAATGTCTAGATTATTGCAATTCTTATCCTGTGGGCCTTTAATTGTAATGCAGTATTCCATCTATTAAAAGATTATGGTAAACTATGAAGGCAAAGATTCTGTACTAGTTTTCAGTATGTGTATATAAAATAAGAGCACACACACACACATTCTCACTCCCTTTATTTATATATCTGTATATATAATGGGAGGTTTGCTGGTATTAAAATTGACCCATGGAATTCAGTTTAAATCAGCTGAGCTGCTTGGGACTTAGCCATCATTTTGTAATACTTATTTCTAGATCTGATGAGAGGTCACATCTGATAAACGTGACCCAAAAGAACTGTTTGAGACCAGTGAATTAAACAGGTTATCAGAAATTGGTCTGTTTTTCAGTGATGGCAATGTCTGACAACTGGAAGAAAGAAAAAAAAAATTATATGTAGGGGCTGTATCATATCCATTAGATTGGAAAGAGAGATACTTTAAAAAAAAACCCAACAAACTGTTCCATCATGTTGGATGCCTAAAATATTTTTGGCAAAATGAATTCCTAGTCTGGAAAGCAAATGCAAAAAATACTTTAAATGCCTCATTTCTGGAATATTTTAAGTGTAAAAGAGCAGCTACCAGACTATATCTACCAGAATATGTAATGAACTCTACATTTAAGTAGAAAGGCAACACTTCACTTGAGTAAAAGGACTTGAGTCCTTCTAGCTAAAGGACTCATTAAAATTGATTCTCACTCATTATACAAGCAGGTGGACAAGGCCTAGTTATCCCAAACACTACGGATCTCAGGGTCTCAGGGTCCACCTATAGTTGGTAGAATCCTAATTTTGAGATCTTTTTAAAAAAAGAAAAGCAGCACAAAACTGCTTAGAGCTTCACGAAGTGAGTGTATTGAAATAAGCTTGCCTTATACCTTTCTTAATTTTCACACAGTCTACCTGATGCAGTAATTGAACTCTCAAGCCCAGTAGTTTCTTGGCTTCAAAAATTCTTCTGAATCCAACAGGTAATGCGCATCTCTGCCAAAACTGGAGAAGGTATCTCAGATATGTGGGATAAAATGACAGAATTTCGTGACCTCATGCTCACAAGCGGTGAGTTAATTGCCAAACGACGGAAACAGCAGAAAGTGTGGATGTGGAATCTCATCCAAGAAAATATGTTGGAACATTTCCGGAGTCACTTGGCAGTCAAGGATAAGATTCCACTTCTGGAAGAAAAAGTTCTTAGTGGTGTCTTGTCTCCTGGGCTGGCAGCCGACCTGCTAATGAAAGCATTCAGAGATGGTCTCTAAGCATCAGATTCTGCTCTGTTCTTGTTAAGTGCTTTATGTAAACATGAACATTAAATATAGTTCTTCAATGTGTGGATTCAAATGTTTTACTACAGCAGACATTGATAGAATATCTATCCACTACTCTGCAGAAAAATACTGTATGTGCAAAGATCATGATGAATGCAAACACTTCCTCAGATTACTAAAGACTGTATTGAAAAAGGTATATTTCCAAGTCTTCTATTTGTACATGCTGTAGACCTGTTGGTCAAAAATATACGCCTGTCTTGAAATGTGACTGGTTTTGGGATGGTGAGACAGAAAGGTTTGTGGTGGTAGAGTTTTGTTCCAATTATGGGACCATCTTAGAGCAGTTTACGCTGGTGCTTTTGGTTCTAATATAGTATCAGCTGTTGCCAGTATGGATTGCTTTTTCTTTCCTCACCTTGAGTGACAGCAAGAACATTGGAACCCCTGGCAGCACCTGACCACAGTCTTAGTTTAAATAAATTATATGGATATAAATAGAATTTAGTGGTGTTTGGTCCCTGTTAGGAAGGTATAGTTAGTTACTGTACACTAGGAGAATGGAATTTTAACCATCTCAGTTTCTAAATAGATGTTTTAATACAAAACCAAAATTTAGTTAGCCTTTTTTTAAATGCAGGCATCAAATGGAACAAATGTCATCCATGGTGTTATAGTAGCAAATATCTTTATACTAGCGTAATGAATCTCTAGTAAGAATGGTTTGAGGTTTTTTTATCTGACTTAAGTTTTTGGGGTTCAAACAAAAGCCCCAGTTGTGTTTGGGTTTGGGTTTTTTTTTTCCTCTCTTTTAGAAGACATGACTGCTTACAACCAGAAGTACGTTTTTTATTTCCCTTGAGAGCAAATCTGGAGGAAGCATTTTCCTAAGCCATCATCAAGAAAGCAGAGCTCATCTGGTACCTACTAAATATGAGAAAAGAGAAAAGTGGAATAATGCTGATTTTTGGAGACCTGACAGAAAACCAGTAAAATAGCATAAGGATTTGTGAGTCTATTGTTGTTTACATGAATTGACTTAAAAAAAAAAGGCATTAGAACTGATGATTTTTATAGTCTTGATTTTCTGAACACATACATAAAAGGTATGGTGTCTTTAATTTTTAGTTTAGTTCAGTTTCACTTGTTTGGCTTTTTAAGATATAGATACGTTTGAGTTCTGGCAGCCTCAGTCTGAATTTTTGAGACAATTCCAGGGTAGCAATGAATTGGTTGACTTTGATACTCTCTCCCTTTGTTTTTTCACCGGAGTGATTTTCTTTTTTCTCCTCTCTTCCCCTCATGCCAGTTGTTACGGTGTGTTCCCAACTAAATTTACTTTTTCCTGCTGAACTTCTGTGCTTCACAGCTTTGATTTCTGTGTAGGTATAATTTGGCAACTATCAGAAAAGATGACTGATTGTTGAAAATACTGAGGATTTTTTACCCTTTGGTTTGTCAAAGTGACACAAATTAAACAATGCAGAAGAAACTTCCATCCTCAGTGCTAGCATTTCAGTCATTTTTCCCATTGGTGGCTGTGTGATTGTCCATATATTTTTACTTCAAAAATGTGAAGCATGACCAGAAAGTATACGGCAAACTGCAAGGCAAAATAAAAATACTTGATAATTAAAAGCAATGATCCCCATGTGTATTTGCAGGGAAATATTAACAAAGAGCACTGTGTTCTGTGGGACATACAGCTGAGGCATTTATTTGTTAAGAAATTTTGCATCGCTGTAGCTGGTTTCTGCCACATAAATTGTCAGAGCTTCAGTGCTCTTACCCCCTTATTCCTATTTCTTAGACTTTGCATCCCAAATGAGTAATTTGGGATTGCTGCAACCAGTTGTGTAGACATATGTTCCTTCAAAGAAAGAATGTTAGGGAGTGGCAGGACAGCGACTTCGTTAGGACCATGCTGAGTTGTTGCAAAAAAAAAAATGTAGCATTTACAGTTTCTTTTCTATTTAGAAATGGTCTCTGTTGAACAAGACAGAAAGTGCCCCAAACCAAAAGCGATATCTTCTATCCTTTCAGCTTTAAAAATTAACTGTATTTTGATGGTACCTAGTAGAAGAAATGATGGTACCTAGTAGAAGAAATCACAGTCAGGTGGAAAATGATTTAATGAGAGGAGCCACATTTTAACTGGTGAGTTCTCAACTTTTTGATAGTCTGTTTGCTTCAGGTGACAGTTTTTAAGGGGGCCTCATTTGTGCATATGTGTTAGATCAAACCCTTATTATTCTCATTGCTTTTGTCAGGGGCTGCTGTTTCCTTTGTCTGTTGTACGTGACCTGTCAAGCAAGCGGAATAGAACCTGCAATTTTGTTTAACTGACAGTTGCTCAAGCAGAATATGTTTTATCACTGTTTTGGGATGTTTTCTGGATGCAAATCTGTCCCTCCAGTCAAGCCATGGGCAATCATTATTTTCTTGTTTTGTTGCTTCTTTTAAAGTATCATTAGTTTACTAATGAACTCTTAGAAGAAGACACTACAATGGCTTAAGCAACTTCTGCTTTTCATTCAACTGCATTTTCTTCTTAAAGTAGAGCACTGAATGAAAATTACGGATTCGTTTGTGCCTCATGCTTCAGTGGACAGAGAAATATCCTTATACTGAGAAGGGTCTTTGGAAATAGCAATAGACAAGGGTACCAGCTTTGGTTTTCAGTGATTCCCCATCAAACTGAAAAGCTGTACTGTGCAGGCTATGACCCAAGCCATATGTGTGAAAACCAACTTCTTTGTTTTATAGCTTGTAGAATTTTGCTGTGACACGTTTTGGAGTCAACCGCCATTCAATTAATTGTGCAATTTTGTTTATGGCCTCATGGGCTGGGGAAAAGCATTGTCTTCAGAAGGGCTGTGTAGCTTTAGCTGGTAGGCTACAATTTAGTAAACAATTCAGTATTTCCCAAGATGGGGAAGATCATTTCCAGCTCATCGTTCCTAGCTCTGTGGGATTAAGGGGGGTAAAATGCATTAAAACATTGTCATTCAGGTAAAACAGGCTTCTGAAAAAAGATAGTAAACAAATCTGTTGAGTAGGATGTTGACATATTCCTAGTTTCTAGAGCTGTCAAGTTACTCTCCTGTTAACATTTAAAACCACAGCTGCTGCAGAACATTATGAGAAAATAATACAACTTTATGAGAAAATAATAGCAAGATTAAGTTTGTAGCTAGAGGTATGATAAACGGTTAGACAAATTGATACGGGAGGTAAGGAACAAACTTTTCAGGTACACAAACTCTTGGGTCCTACATAGTCTTGCAGTTGGATTTAAGTGTGAAGCTTTTCCCCAGGTCCCTGTGTAATAGATGTTGCTGGTGCTTCACAGCTGGAAAAACAAGTGTGGTGAGAGAAAGTGATTTACCCAGCCTCTCAAACAGGTCAGTAGAATATAAGGGTTACAGTTCAGTAGTCTTTACTCCAAGCCCCATATATATTTACGGCCATGTTACTTAAGGTTGAAAAAATGCTCTTAGCAAGTTCATGCTCTCAGTATGACTTACTCCTTTCATATCTAATCTCTCTGTTTTCAGTGGCAGGACCCAGCTGACCCCTTCTTGACTACTGTTCTGTTGTAATGTCCTGCTTTAAGTAGTAGCAGACACTTTCTAATCTGCCCTTGCCTTTTGTAAGTGCGTTAATTCCAGTTATGCATGCTTGTTCGGGCTTTATGTTTCTTTATTTGTGAAATCTGCAGTGTGTTGGCTGTCTATTTGTGAGTCTTGAGATTTGTCTTGAGATTTTTGGGGATGGGGATTGAGCTAAAGGATACTAATGAGCTGGGTTTGGGTTGGTTTGGTTTTGGTTTTTATTCCAACCCAATGCAGTTCCCTTCCTAGTTTTTTCTTAATGTGGCAAGACTCAATTATTGACTTGCTCTGTGCTGGAGACTGGTGTAAACATAGTTATTTCCCGTTTACTTTTCCTTGTTCAGAGTGCTTTGTTGCTCCCCCATTTGGATGCACATTCAAGAAGTAACATCCATGAGTTAAAATGAGAAACATTTTTACAGAGCTTAGTCCTTCCTTAACTATTCCTCCTGGACTGTTCTAAAACAGATTCCGTTTGAAGAACAATTAAACAGAAGTTGATAAAACATGTATTTAAAGAGAAATCAGTGTGTTCCCCTGGAACTCATGATTTGGGCAATCCACAGTATAATAGGTTGACTAGCAGCAGGGTTCCTCTTCCAAAACCTAGCTTAGATACTCCATGGTCATACTCCTTACAGTTTATTTAAAAATAACCCCTCCTCACCCCGTATTAGAACATTAACACAACTTGCGGATTGAGAATAAAAATTTCAAAACTAAAAACTCATAAGGAATTGCAGTACATGTTCAGAATGGAAGTATGATAGGCGTATTTGGATCCCTACTGCCATACCAAGGTTTGGGTCAGCTCATGAACAAACCAGGAAAAGAGGAGGTGACATTCATGGTAGTCTGTGTTATGAAGAATGTCTGTTTTTCTTTTGTTTTCTCCCATGGGAGATAAGAATTATCATAGGCAATTCACTGGCAAGACAGAGAAACTGGTGTGATCCACGGTGTTTGCTGTGTGAGGTTTACAAAAATGATTAATTCAATTCCCTTTTCTATCTTTTTGATTTGTATCTGGTGGGGGACTAGTCTAATGCAGACACTTGCCTTTTGGAACTAGGTGGTTTTGTTTGTAATTGTGCTCTAAGTGGGGAAAAGCTAGAAGTCCTTGTAGCCTGAGTAAATAATTGTTACTGTAATGAGTCAAAATCTTCACTTTTCAGAATATGTGATGAGATTCCTGTCTTTTTTCTTTAAAATACTGTGGCAAAGTGAGTTTCTGCTGTATGTTAGTTACTACGTCTTCATTTTCTCTTATGTTTAGATCTCTTTCACTGGTAGAGTAGCGTAAAAGAGCTTTAGTTTAGTTATAAACCTCTTTAAATGACAGATCTCTTTCACTGGTAGAGTAGCGTAAAAAAGCTTTAGTTTAGTTGTACACCTCTTTAAATGACTTAAATATTCATAAAGTTAGTCGGGGTTTAACAATATTTTTAAACCCCGACTAACTTTATGAATATTTAACAATATTTTTACTTTGTTTCTTCTATTGAAAGTGACCGTTACAACCTAAAGATCTTAAACTAAAAGTGATTCTAACTTCAGATGACTGAGCTGCAGTGGCTGGGGATGCGTAATATATATATAGTGAGAAGATTCTCTAATTGTCTGCGTGGCTTGTGGCATTACAAAGTCATGCTGCTAAAGGTATCTGTCAGCCCCGAATCCATGACACAAAGATCCTGCTTGTAATTTTCTAATTGCAACCAGCGGAAGACGAGAGTAATGTTAGTTTTTACGATTTGTTGCTTAGCAGCGTTGATCAACAAAAGTACAACCTTTTCTTTTCCTGTAACCTCGGTGAACCCAGGCTTGGACAGAGCTCACGAGCAGAAGACAAGGATTTCTGAAGTCGTGCAAAACTGTTGTTCAGTGTCTGTTAGCAGCACCTGTGGCAAACTGTCCCTTCTTGACCCCGTCGTTACTTATGCCCTTTAGTCTTCTTTCTCACTCTCATCAAGCCTTAGAAGAAAGCAGGCACTGTCCTAGAGAGGTGGGGAGGATGGGAAGTTTAGAGACAAGCCAACTGTGCTAAAACATATCCTGCTGTTTGTGCGGAAAAGGAGCTGAGCTGGTTCCCAGGCTGTGATGATGTCAGACCTTCCTCTCGTGGCAGGAGAAGCAGACTTCAGCCATCACAGTAAGGATTATTCTTAGAGGAGCTTTCCCGGTATTTTGGAGTAGGCAGAATTATCCATGGAGGAAAGGGAAATTAGGGTGCTAAGAATTTCCTTGAGAGGTTTCACAAACAGAACTAGAAGGGATATTGAATGTATATTTGAAAATGTTTATGGTTCTGCACTGAATGTAGATATACAGAGAGTCCCCCTCTCCTTTTAAATTTTTTTTTTAATCTGATCAAACCTGGCAAAGCCTGTAGAATAAGCACAAAGAGTTAAGTTGTTTGTTTCACCTTCCTTCTGAACTGTAAATCGTTAGTCCAACTGGACAAAGGATCTTTAGTGACATCACAAACCGCAACAAGTAATGTGCCTTATGATGCCAGAAGCTTAGACTCGGAGCTTTTACTGTTACTCAAATACTCGGTTTTTACTTCTAGATCTAAGTAAGAAACAGCTAAGTATTTGTATACTTTTTCTGCCGAATTTCCTGAGAAATTTGTAAGCCTGTAACTAGATCTAAGTAAGAAACAGCTAAGTATTTATACTTTTTCTGCCAAATTTCCTGAGAAATTTGTAAGCCTGTGGACTTTATGTGAAAAATAATGCCTTGTCAGTCTGCTGGTTTTCTCCTTTCCACCCCTTCTCCTGTCCTTTCTCCCCCCTGTCCACACTTGTGGATCCGTTGATAGCTGTTAACAGCAATGCGGGTCAACATATTAAAAGGTCAGCATGTGTTTCACAAGTCTGTTACACTCTGGTGTCCCTTCTCTTCTGAAGTTCAAAGAGAAACTCTGCAGTCTCATAAAATTCACAGAGAGGACTAATATTGCTGTAATCGCACAATTGAGATCAGATACTCCTTCCAGAAATGACAGCCACGTGAGGAAATGGTTTCTGCCCTGTGTGCCACGTCGAAAGCATGGTAAGTGTGTGGTATCTGGCAGAGTGATGCCAGAAGCTTAGACTCGGAGCTTTTACTGTTACTCAAATACTCGGTTTTTACTTCTAGATCTAAGTAAGAAACAGCTAAGTATTTATACTTTTTCTGCCAAATTTCCTGAGAAATTTGTAAGCCTGTGGACTTTATGTGAAAAATAATGCCTTGTCAGCCTGCTGGTTTTCTCCTTTCCACCCCTTCTCCTGTCCTTTCTCCCCCCTGTCCACACTTGTGGATCCGTTGATAGCTGTTAACAGCAATGCGGGTCAACATATTAAAAGGTCAGCATGTGTTTCACAAGTCTGTTACACTCTGGTGTCCCTTCTCTTCTGAAGTTCAAAGAGAAACTCTGCAGTCTCATAAAATTCACAGAGAGGACTAATATTGCTGTAATCGCACAATTGAGATCAGATACTCCTTCCAGAAATGACAGCCACGTGAGGAAATGGTTTCTGTCCTGTGTGTCACATCGAAAGCATGGTAAGTGTGTGGTATCTGGCAGAGCTCAATCAAGTAAAATAAACAGCAAACTGTTTATTTTTTAAATGGCAAATATTGCCATTTAAAAAAAAAATTATCTTTAATGCACAAATCCAGCTCAATCAAGTAAAATAAACAGCAAACTGGAATATGAATTACGTTACAAATATTGCCATTTAAAAAAAATAATGCACAAATCTTAACCAAGTGATCTGCCTGGAAATCCTGACTGCGATCAGACTAAGAGGGATGGCTTTCCATGCCCTTGCTTTCTGAGCAAATTTGGCTGACCAAAACAGGATTTCTTTTTTGAGGTGTGAATACGATTTGTCTGTCTGCAGGGAACAACAGCTGCTAATATTTGATACCTGCCAGATTCAAAACAAGTAGCTGAAGTCACGTTCTTAACTTCTGATTTACAGGAGAAGGAGGAACTTAAGTCAAAATCAATAAGCTTTTAAAAACAGTTTAAGTAAAAGCAAAGAACTTTTTTTGTTGTTTATGAGTGGTGTGATGCAGAATACCTGACTGGTTATTTCTGTGTGCAGTGGCAATAGAACCCGAGTAGATTTAAAAATTAATGTTTCAAACTTTAGATAGTTACAATATGTTATTCTTCACCTCTCCCTTTAGCTATCCTTTAGAGTACGTCATTCTCTTATAAGTGAAAAAGTGTCTTTACAGTAAGACTCTTTAGTGCTGTCATTTCTACACTCGCAACAACAGGGCAGACTGTACCACAGCTAAAAGTATTTTATTCCTGTACCAAAATTAATCAGTTGTTCTGAATCATGGTGTGTGGAACAGGGAAGTCCCAGTTTCATGTCTTGCAGGATGCACGTGGCTTTCAGCTCAGCTGCAGACACTGCTCCACACACCCCTTCCCACCCATCACAGTTCCTTGAGGTACAGTTGCTCATATTAGAAATGCTAATTAGAAACATTTCTCCATACCCTGATATCAGGAAAGGACACCATTTGAGCACGTGCCTAAACATGATTGAATAGGGGTCCTAGAATACAGGTCACCTGAGCTTTGTCCCATTAGGTGAGTCAATTTTCTGTTTTGGGGGTAGTAAATCTCACATGCAATGAGACACAGGAAATTTCAGAGGGAAACGGGAATAATTAAAATAATCTCGTTTGGTCCACTGCCAGCTCTTTCATCTTAGAAAACATTGCTCTGGAGACAAGCACAGATCCTGTAAGTGAGCCTAGTCTGGATGGCTCTCATTTAACATTTTGAACATCTATCCCTTAGTGAGCATCTGAAGGGCAAGGATGTTTCTGTGGGAAATTTGAATGGTTTTGGTTTCTTTTTTTTATTTTCTTTATTGGCTGCTTCTTGAGATTGAGGTTGGACTACGTGGATCCTTGGGTTAGTGTGGAGTTTCCTCGTGTACATTGGATCACAAAATCACCCCAAAAGACAAGGTTTTTACAAACAAGGCTTGTATAACTTAGGGAGAAAAATGATTTTGCATTGAAAAACTGAAATAGATATTTAAATATTGCACAAGCCGGATAGTATTAAGGCTACTCTTGTTTTTTAGTTTCTCAATCTAAAAGCCGTACAATTTTCTGTGCTTAATCTAGAGTGTTTGTAGTTTGCATCCCAAGAAATTGCGACGGAGAGAAACAAATTGCTACAAGTGCCAAAGGTAAATCTTTTTGTTCTGAATAGCATTCCTCAGCCAGCTTCCCAGTAACTTCATTTTCTAGATGATTTTTGGGGGAGCAGCGACAGCGAGCAGTCCTGGCCTCTCGCTGCAGTCCTTACAGAGCGCCCTTAGATGGCGCTGTGCAGCAGCGCTCAGCCCTTCCTCGCTCTCCTCATCACCCTCCCAGGTCCCCAGCCCCTCCAGGGGGGTCAAACTACCTTAGGGGGTGCCTTTGCCCCTAAAGCTGAGAGTATGCTTTACTAAACTGGTAAAAGGCTTCCTTGGCAGCTGCCTAATTTCTTGACCTGCTGATCTTGGGCTACTGATGAGATGTCAACTTTTTTCATGAAGTTGTTAGGCGAAAGAAAAGGAGCTCCAAAATGTTGCATGAATAGGTTGTGGAAGGAAAAATGACTATCAGGGCCTGTGTGTTCACTTTCACTGGTTCCCCACCAGTCAAAGCTTTCTGCCCAGGAGAGGAAACGCCCCCTCCTTGTTTCCAAAGTGTTATAACCAACCATTTTACTAAGTGATGCATATTCCTGTCCTTTTTTTTCCGTTTGCCTGGGGATCCATAGCCCAGGTCTGAAATTTTGCCATAGTTCAATCTGGAGAACATGGGTGAGCTGTCTCTGGGCACTGTTAATTAAGGTCACTAAATGCAATCTGTCAGTAGGGACTACTAAATATTAAATTCAAACATGGATTTCAGTAACTGCTATACTTTAATTCTTATAAAACTTGAATCATGTCACGCTTTAAACATCTGTGTTAAATATATTGCTGTCTGTCTGTAAAAGTGCTTTTAAGTAATAGCTAAGGATTTTTTGTGGGCATTTGAGAATCATCGTGGTGGAAGAACAGTGTTCACCCCGGGAACTTCCTCACAGAAATATGGGTGTGGTATTGTGGTTTGCAGGTTAAATCCTCCACG